ATAATAATCATGACCGTAATCATGATCATAATTATAATAATAATAATATTCACATAATCCTAATCAGAATCATAATAATCATGACCGTAATCATGATCATAATTATAATAATAATAATATTCACATAATCCTAATCAGAATCATAATAATCATGACCGTAATCATGATCATAATTATAATTATAATAATTCATGATCATAATAATTAATGATCATAACAATAGTAATTAATAATCATAATCATAATAATTAACAATCATAATAATAATAATTAATAATTATAATAATAACATTAATCATGACAACAATAATAATAATAATAAATTGATATTTTGATTTCTACTTATTATAGGAGAAATGTTACGAATATTGGCCGGTTGAATTAGGTGCACAATTTGGATATTTGGTAGTGGAACCGATTGCTGAATATAATATGTCGCAGTATGTATTACGTGAATTTAGGATTACTGATACTGAGGTATGATATGATAGTGCTTTTGTAAATTATCAAAGCATTTACTCTTCAAGTTATTGATATTTTTGAAATTTAAATTTGCACAATTTATCATTTTTCTTTCTTACTTTTAATTTGATAATTCGGTCAAATAATTGTGATAAAATGCTCGGTTTAATGCTATTTTATTTGTCTAATTACCTGTTAATTTTCAATTATTTCTAGTACCAGAATTGTACTCTACGAGTTGCACCAAAGTTCTAATTTTTTTCATTAGTATTAATTAATTGATAGCTTAATTAATTATTTGACAATTTATTTTGTGAACTGAAGTGTATGAACTATCGCTTAATTGGCCAAAATTTTTAGTCCGGTCAAACAAAAACACTAAGACATTTTCAATATGTAGAATGGCCTGATCATTGTCCACCAAAATCTGCCGAGCTATTCATCGATTTCATTCATCAAGTATGTTTTTGCAAATTGCATCTCCAAAAAATTTGATTTCTTTTATCCTGCAAACACAGCTTATTTGTCTGAGAAATATACCCGTTGTTAAAAGAACAAATGATTAATGCAGTCTTATTTATCAAGCAAATATTATCTCCATTATTAAAACAATAACAATTTAGTGTAGCCTTATTTGTCAAGCAAATATTATCTGCAAAGAATGATTGTTTTTATTTATGTAAAAATTTGAGGTACATCGGACGAAAACACAATTTGGTGTAGACGGTCCAATTACGGTGCATTGCTCAACAGGTGCTGGACGTACTGGAGTTTTCATTGCGCTTAGTGTGATTATTGATCGGATGAAGTTAGAACACGTAGTTGACGTATTTACTACAGTTAAATTACTCCGAACCAAACGTCAAAATATGGTTCAGGATAAGGATCAGTATCACTTCTGTTATCAGGCTGCTCTTGAATTCCTGGCCACATATGATAATCCATATCAAATGTCTTGAATATAAAATGATAATTTCCTTCGATTATTCATTTGTTCATTCCTGTTTAATATTGCTTTTCATAAATGAAATTTTTTGCTTATTTATTTCTTCAAATGAAAGACATACTAATATGTCTTATTATATTTCCATCCATTTTCATTTATTCATTTCCCATTTTTTTTATTCATCTCTCAAATCTAATACGGGTATCAATTATTTTTGTGCTATTTTAAAAAAAATAATTTTGAAAAGTAGCCTTTGATGTATATTGTAGATATTATTGTTACCACTGTTGTCATCCGTTTTTTTTTAATCGTTAAGATAATATCAAAAAAAATTACAATTTAAAAAATTAATGCTGAAGTCTTTTTAAAATTCATTTAATTAAAATTTAACATTCAAAAGATGTGAACATTGATTATGGTAATAAAAAATTTCAAATGAATTGTTCTTCAAATTTATCAATCAAATTGCTTTTTATTAAGAAAATTCATCTTACAAATATAAAATGATAATAATTTTTCATCTTTTTTTTTATTCCAAAACAATTTATTTCAGTTTTGTTGCAACGATGCAAATTTTTTAGTTTTCTCTTTTCTGTAATTTGTCTTTGAAGAAAAAAAAATTTTTTTCCTATGATCTTTTATTATATTTTGCAATAATAAAACTGATAAATGCTGAATCATTTAAATTTTGAATTTTTATAATACTAATTTGTTACAATGATTTTCTGTTACTAATTATTCGTTCCTTCCATTTTCTTTTTCATTCGCTCTATCTCTCATTTGCCCTCTCCATAGTTCACTGCCTCCTAATTTTTATTAATTGTTATATGATCTATGATTACCTATGATTAAAGGTGAGTCATTTTTATGACCCACCAAAAATACGAATATTTTTGATGATAACACCGGAAAGACGAACTTACTATTCCCGCTTTTGTCTAATTTGAATCAAAAAATTAAAATTAACTGTTTGAATTTATCCATTTCAAGGATAGGATATACTTAAAAGACTATTCATAACTTATCAAATGCATTATAATAATTAAATCGATAAATTCATGTAAATTTACAGCGATTATTTTCTGAACTCTTTTTTGAATTGCATTGCAGGGGGAAACTATCTCTTACTGTTCCATTTTCTTTTCATAAGTAATTTTAAGAATTAAGTGATTTTTATACCTGAAATGTTTAAAATGAAAAAATTAAAATTACGCCAAAATACATACTTCATTATTTAAAATAGCTTTGTTACATTTGAATATTTATGCAGTTTAAATATTTATTCACTTTAAAAAGCATCGAACATGAAGACTTATGCATAATGTTTAATATTGGAAATCCTCACGCCAATTTTAATTATTTCCAGAAATTAATTAGTAGCTTAAAAGCTAATTTATATATTTCAGTATATATTTCTAAAATGAAGTACTCATTAAGCTTATATTTCCCATCCTTATCATCTTTATGCCAGTAAATTACAATTTTATGATTGCAGCAAAAAAAAATTTTATTACTAGTTAAAATTTATTTTGAACCAATAATAAATAAACACCATGATTGATTAAACAAATAAATTGATGAATTTAAACGGAAAAAATAAGAGACTAGTGGATTCTATGAACGGATAAATTATAAAGAAAATTCTGCACCTGAATTCTCGATTGAATAAATAAATAAACAAGTAAATAATAACGGTAAATAAAGACGTACAAAAATTGAAAAATGGGATTTCAGAAACATTCATTATTTAACATTGCACAAAGCCAAATATTTCAAAGGAAAAAATATTACTTTCAAAAATTCGAAAATTTGAAAAAATAACATTTAAATTGCTTCATAAGACGAATCATAAATTTACATTTCATTTACGCATTTGAATATGCTAAAATTAACAGTAATGAGTGTAAGAAATTGGAAAAGATATTTTTTAGATTCAAATTCTCATTGGAAAAATTATCTATCATTTTTTACGATAAGAAAATCTTTTCGCATTTTAATAATTTCATATAATTTAAGTTGAAAGCTGAAAATTTTGCATTTCAATGATTATGTATAACCTAATTTACATATTTGAAAATCAATAAATAGGCTTATCAAACAGTGTTACATCATTCTCTTCCCCATTCCTTCCCTTTCCCCAAATTGCAATCTGATCATCCTCTTTCCTGACTTCATCCAACCATTTCTTTAAACATAGGAAGGAATCTCAGTTTAACGTGACAGTGAACTTATCGCATCATCTAAACGGAAGAGTTTTTGTAGAAGGTTCAGTGAAGAAAATTAAAGATGCCATGTCACAGTTTACGCTCACGTTTCCGATCACGCTCACGATCACGATCACGATCACCTATGCGTAGTCGCCGTCGTTATCGTAGTCCGTCAAGTATGCTACGCAAACTGTACTGGATAACTGATGGCAAAAGCCCACGTAGTTCAAGCAGACGACGACGTAAGCTACGCCGTTCTCGTCCACGTACTCGGCGTTCTTACTCACGTCTTCGTCGCTCACGATCTCCGTACCGATATTATACTAACCTATCCAGAACTCGTCGTCGTCGTCGTCGTTCCACGTTTGCTCCACAACGAAGACGTCGGCAAGTACCTTCGATCGAGTTGGTTGTGCACAGACGGCGGCGGTAAATGAAATAAAATCGCTCAGGCATGAAAAGATTGAATGAAATCGTTAGATTTTCATTAATCATTAAATATGAATATTAATTCTTTACCAATATAAAACTTTTAAATGTTTTTTTTCTACTCTAACCGCTCAATTCCTATCAATATATAAGAAATTATAAAGAGTTGTTGAAATAACTTTTCATAACAATACATTATTAATTCAGTAAATGTTGATCATAATAAGATTAAATTGAAATTTATTTGAAAATTTAAATTTTGAAGACGCATTCATCTTCACTCTTATCAAAAAATTTTGCACACCGCTGCTCTTTAATTTATCACATAAACATATTAGCAACATGAAATATCATTGCAATTAATCTTGCAATTAATTAATTTCCACAAAAATTATTCATTAAATAAGCTTTTTCAGATTGACATGGCATAAAAAAGGAGAGAAATCAACCTTTATGGAATGGAAGAAGAAAGAGAAAGAAGAAAACTGATTAAAAATTAATTTATCAAAAATTTTAATAAAAAGAAACTGACATTTTAATGAATGTAAACAAAGAATGATTTTAAAAAAAAACTGCCAAATAATGAAAATATATCATTCAGTAAAACAAATAATTAGCTAATAATTTCGAATAAAAATTTCGTCGATTGCTGCTGATTTAATTCATTACAAGGAAAAATTTTTCCTTGAATTAAAAATTCTCAACAGACTAATTTCATTTTAGCAATGTAAATATGATAGCAATAAGTTACTGTGATATTTTCGATATCATATCATTTAGGTTTCTTTATTGCTAATAATAATTGCTACTATTAAGTCTTGGAATTCTATGTTAAATTAAATATCACTTAATTATTTTTTATCAGATATCTTTTCCATATTTCATTATTTCCAATAAATTTTATCACTCATTTTTAGTACCGACGATTGATTTCATTTCTAACCAGTAATAATAATAACAAATTCTAAGATTCTAAGGTTCGAGAAACCTAGTAAAACTTGTAATGCTTGTAAAAACTAAAACAAGCAAAATAAGTCGAATTTTTTTTGCTATCATTAAATGATAAAATAACTGAATAGAGTGAATAAATTTTAATGGATTGATAAAAGGAAATAAAAAAATAAATAACGAATTTGGAAGAATTTAAGAAATTCCAATGTAATTAATAAGTATGTGTATTCCAAGAAGGAATTTTTCAGCAATGGGCATTAAAGAATCTGCAAATAATATATTTTGAAAATTTTTGTGGTTTTTGTGAAATTCATAAGTAAATGAATTTGTGTTCTGAGTGAAAAAAATTATTTGATTGAAAATGATGGTATTCGTTAATTAGCTGATAATTTTTTTCCTTTCTTCAAATAACAAAATTTCATACATTCATGGTAAATTATTTTAAACATGAAATACTAGCGCTAATAATTAATATACCAAATAATTCAGTACCGCTAAAAATTTTAATCAAAAATGAAAAACTACTAAAATTAACATTAGTATGCAAATATATGTATATTTGCAATATTTGAATTATTTTATCTGGCTGAAATTTACATATTAAAAAATGTAACGAATAATTGAAAATTGATGAAGTGGAAAAAAGTGTATAAATTTAAAAGATTTTAGATTTATTGCATCAGTTGATTCAAGTAAACATGGCGACAAGTTGTTATTTTGATTTTGGCCGTAAACCCGGTTTAAATGGCAATAGTGTATATTTTATAACGACTGGTGATAATAAACCGACAGCGGGGCAAATTAAGCAAACGGATAAGGTAATTAGGAATAAACTTACTGTAATAAGTCATCATGATTACAATCGATTGATTATTGCAATTTAATTATATTTCTAACGGAAATGGATAAGTTGTAGCACAAATTTTTAAATGAATTCACTGTTGTAAAGATAGTGATCACCTATAATTTATCAATTGATTATTTAAAATACATGATTACTTGATTATTACAATATTTAAAATACATGATTACTTGATTATTACAATATTTAAAATGCATGATTATGTGACTATTATATTTAAAACAATATTTAAAAAAGCACGATTAATTATTATGTTTAAAATGATACTTTTATATATTAGAACTCAAATTTTATTGTAATAAATATTTAAAAATTTCTACTTCATACTTCATATCTTCTCCATTACTAACAATCATTTTGATTACTCCAAAAATGAAATATTGAAGGGATCAATGATGGATGCAATGGAAGATGCAACAAATTTGATAACAGATGATACTATCAACCAACCAAATGATTATTCAAAAATAAACATCTCAAATGCCGCTAACACATTTATTCCCGCATTGGGTACGAATTATAACGAAGAGATGGCGAATAACTTGGCTATTCAAGTAAAAAATTTCATTTTATCTTTTTCAAATATTTTTTTTTATTCTTCACAATTCATTTTTACGTAATCAAATTTTTCATTTTTTTTTGTTTTTTTCATTTTTTATTTACAAAGGAAAGTGAAAAGAAATATAACCCTAAAACGTTCAATGGGTATAATGTAAGGTGTTAAAGATCAGGAATTGAAAAAATTTTTTTTAAAAAAAATACTTCAAAATATCAAAATAATTTTCCGCAACTATAATTTGCTAAAATAAAAACAATATTTTAACAAAATGTAAGCAAATTTTTTTCATGCAAATGAAATTTAATTTTTGTAATCATTTGCAACTTTTTTTCCATCCATTCATTTTCGCTCATTTTTAATTAGTCCATTTTTTAACATCCTTTTGATTTAATCATTTCTTAATTATAGAGCGTATCCAAACAGCATATTGTATCGACGTATGCAATGCCAACGCTCAATAATGTAATTATTGAATTTTTGTTTTCAATTTTTTTCTCATTTTTTCTTTGAGAATTTTCAAACAAAAAATAAAGAAGGAAAAAATGATTTAATAGTTTCAAGGATGCTTCTTTTTTTCTGCTTCAAATTATAATTGAATAATTTTCATTTTTTCATTTTTAAGACTCATGGCATTATTGATGGTAATTGGCAAAACGATGATGATGGGATGGATAAATTTAAGCATAAACAGCAAGTATATGAATTAAATAATTTTAAAATTTGTTTAGATGAAAATTTTCAAATTTATTTGGATTAAATAGTTTCAAAAATTTGATCATTTATTATTGTTATTTATTAGTTTCCTAATTCGGTTAGCGATTTAATTTAAATCAATTATAGTTAGAATGAGTGAAATTTTATACAATGCTAAAATTTAGTAAATAAATGTCAATTTGATTGTTATTGTTATTAATATTACTATTATTACTTTTTTCATCACTAATTGATAATGTTATTGCAATTGTCTTTATATTGACAATATTAGTGATATTATTGTTAATATTATCACAGATTCGTATTACTTATTAATCAATTATTATCTATTGTTTGTGATAGCATTTGAGTTGATGAACATTTCTCTTAACTGTAGCATCAATCAACTTATCCTAAACATAAATTTTATCACAGTTCTTTTTTTTATCTCCTTTCTAGGTTAGGTAAATTTAATGGATGATGAAATATGATATTGTTAATTATCCTCAATTATTCTTACTCACATCTAATTTCAATTTTGTTTAGGGATCTTATTTATTTCTTAAGTTTCGAATTTTATTTCCCATTAAATTCTGATTAATTCATACTCTTTAAGTTAGATACTTCATATTTCATTTAATCAACAATTGCTAATTAAATGGGCGGAGAATGGAGGAAGAAAATGAAAAGGAGAAAACGGAAAAAATAGGATGACGGAGAGATTTGATTTTACTTTATTTTTAATTATTTAATGGAATAATTTTAATATTGCTAATGTTCAGATGGATAGCTTGTCAACAGTGGCAATTGACGATGATTCAATTAGCACGATACAATCTCGAAAAAAACAGGTGTCAACAGTAAAAATTTTGTTAAAATTTATAAATATATTTTGATGTTTATTAATTAATTTATTGTATTTTAATTATATTAATTATTTCAGACAGAAAGTGCATATATAAATATGCCAAATTTATATAATTGCATAAATATTAGCGATCAGGAACATCATCGTATTATTCGTTCACCAATAATTGAAAAATATGGTAGGCAAACAATTTTTAAATATTGATTTCTTTTATTTTTTTCATCATTTTTTTCATTAGTCATTTTTAAACTTATCAATAAATTTATTGTAAAAAGACGCTTTAACTTTGTTATTAAAATTATGGAATAAAATTTTGTATATTAACAAATTTGTTAAGTAAAATTTAATTAGTTCAAATTACTGTTTTCATTGTTATTTCGTGTCATTACTTTTATTATAAAATTTTTTGAAACCATCAAGCTATTTCAGCACTATGAAAATTTTTGGAGTTTTTTGGCTACCGCCTAGCATTTATTTGTTGAATAAAAAACTATTTGAAGTTGTAACAAATTTTTTAAATAAAAATTTAGTAATTAAAAGTCAACAATAAAAAAATTGTAAACATAATTTTTCAGTAATTGAAAAGCCGGAAATGGAAAATGACAAGGATGCAGAAGATAAAATATTGATTCCAAATTTCAAGCAATTTTCCGACGATTACACACCTGATGATATATCGGACATGTATACAACGTATAACTTTGATGTCAGTACAATTGAATCGGAATATGCTTTTAATGTTAGCTAATTTCATATTATTTTTAATTCCTTGCTTTTCACGCTTATTCCGTATTCCATTTTTACTTCCAGTAATTACTGCTCTTCATACTAAATCCGTATTTTATTTTTACTTCCGGTAGTTAAACGATCATTAAGGTAAATCAGCTTAAATTTCGTTCGTATTTCAGATTGAGGAATATGATAATACAAATGAAAAATTCCTGCATTCAAATGAAAGTAATAAAATAGAATCAAGAAATGAAATTTCGGCAAACAAAGAAAAATTTCCGAATTCATATATTTCTAAAATTGAAACTGATCCGGACAAAGATACTACTAGTACACTGATTGCATCGGAAAAGCCTTACATTGAATCATATTATAATGCTGGTGATTTACACCAATGGAAAGTTTATTAATTGTAAAACAAATTAAAATTTCCCTTCTCCTTCCATTTCCCGTAATTGCCGTCCGTTTTCCACTTTTTTGTAATCCGGTGCTCCTATCTTTGATCTTCATTTAATCTTCATCCTCCAATCTATAAAATTATTATTATGTCAAAATTTTCGATGGCAATATTTGCTATATAAATGCTATCGCTAGTAGTAAATGGATAAATTCATCTGTAATTATATGTGTATTATCTTTACCAAAATTACAAATTAACAATTTCTTTTTTTGATATGAAATTTTAGATGTAAAAAAAGAGCTGATTATTTCAGGGAAAGAAAAAAATGACTTACACATTAATAGCTTTTTTTCTGGTGCAAAATTTTAAGCTGATAAGAAATAAAAAATTGATATTTCAAAAGGAGTAATATAAATTAACAATTTCCTTTTTTTATATGAAATTTTAGACTATAAAGAAGAAGAAATTGAAATTTTAAAAATGATAAATCAGTGATCTCTTTTTCTGATACAAAATTTTAAGCCTTTGAAATTTTTGAGTGAAAGTCTTTCCTATTATCTTCTTGGTGACACAACCTGTCTCAATTTTTTATCATTAAAAAAAGAGGATTAACATTGCTTTTTAGTTTACTAATCATTCAAATGAATAAATGTGAATCAATTAAACCAAAATATTGGAATACAAATAGTCGATTATTAAAAGTACACAAATAATTATCATTATTAGTTTAATTATTCAAAACATTCTGTTTAATAAAAATGATTCGTATTATTTGCAATCAACGCAAAGATGGATAAGAAAAATTTTTTAATCTTATTAATTAGTCAACAGTACTAATAATTTCCTTGAAACAATCAATTGCTATACAATTCATTTTCAATATGCATTTTCCAAATTCGAATTGATCCCATTAATTAAATCGCATTACTCGTAATTTCTTTCCAACAATCGATTGCTGTGCAATTCATTTTCGACAGCATTTTCCAAATTCGAATTAATGCTTAATTAATTGAGCAACATTATTAACAATTGCTTTCAAATAATCAATTGCTATATAATTCATTTTTAATAGCATTTTCCAAATTAGAATAAATGTTATTAATTAAGCAGCATTATTACAATTGCTTTCAAAAAAGTTTTCTTACCAAATTTAAATAATTATTGCTAAATTTGGACAATATCAAATTGATTAAATTTTTTTCCTTTTTAATTCAATAATTGTTGGCGAAAATTTTGAATCATTTATTTGATTCATAAATTATGCAAACAATTTATAATTGGTCCTAATGATCATTGAATTGTGCAAATTGAACCAAAATTTGAATTTTATAACTGAAATAGGACTGCATGTTAATTGCAGTATTTAATTATCATTTTGATAAAATAAAAGGTAACCTCTAAATACTTTTCAATAAGGGTAAAAGTAAGGATTAAAAGATTAAAAAATAGGAAAATGAATGAATTATTGGGCAGCAAGTATGGAGTGATAAAAGATCGAAATTTCTCTCCTATTCATTTCCAATTTTAACTCTCAAATTATTTCATTTTATGATCGCTTAGTGAAACTGGTTCTTTCAAATAAATATTCACTAAACCACATCCTATGTCCATTATTCTTCACAGAAAATTAGACATATAATATAAAATATCGAATGCCAGAGAGAGAGAGAGAGAGATAGAGAAGGAGAGAGAGAGAGAGAGAGTGAAAATAGATTGTTGTTAAAAATGGACAAATGATATCTATTTATCTATACAAATGACTGAATTAAATTTTAACTTGATCGATGATAAACATTTGTTTTCATCCATTTCATCCTCAATTGTACTTTAAATTTCGTTTTATTTTTTTTCAAAATTAATGTCTGAAAAAAATAATGATAATACAGATTAAACTAACATTGTTTTTATTCTTTCTTAAATTCCTCTCTTAATGAAATGACCGATTAAATTTGCATATTTCTTGTTTTATCGCAAAAAATTTACTTCTTTCGTTTTATAGTTACCTGTTTTTTTTTTCAGCATTTATTTTTATTTTACTATCGATTTCATCATCACTGAATAATCGGATTTGATATCATATACATCAAAGATATTATAAAATGATAATGTATCGGATTAGCAATATGAAATGATTTATTTATTTGGACAAACAAATAATATTCCAGTACTACTACATTGGCCTATTTTTTATTTCCATTATTTGAGTGATAATGGATGTAATTAAATTTTCCTAGTAGTCATAATTGAAATTCGTTTTACTAATTTGTAAGTTTTAAATAAAAAATGCGAATTTGTACTAGAAATTTACAAATTTTCAAATGATGTCTTTTTCTTTTACTTTTTGTGAATTACATATATGGTTAGGAAATCGAAAACTTTTCATCACTCTTAATTTAACCGAATATTATATCATTTAATTGTAATGGATCGTTTCGTTCTTTTTTTTTCTTTTGCACTCAATTTTCAAATGAATCTATTTCTCAATGTAACCTAACCAGTTTCTGTTCTTTTTAAAGCAATATTTCCATTGTTCTATTCATAATTAAGATGATATCCATTATTCCATTTCCATTTTGATGCGATATTTCCATTATTCATTTCTATTTTAAACGAATGTTAGCACTATTTCATTTATATTTTGGCGCAGTATATCTTTTACATTTCCAATTCAGCACAATTCAATTAATTTCGTTTTCATTTTAACAAATTGTTAATGGAACGGGTTGATAAAGAAGGAAAGCGAATAATTGAAATAGGAAAGAGGAAGCGAAAAAGGTGAAGATTTTTCTAATATTTTTACAAATTAAAATATTTTCATGCAAAATAATCAAAATTAAATCAAGCATCATCATTAGCTCTCTAATTCGTAAACTTCATTTTTTCTGGTTTTTCTATTTTTAAAATGATAAATTTGAAGCATAAATGTTGATTGCGGTGGATTAATTTCTTTTTTTAAATCAATTTTATATTTTTATCAATAAACTGTTATTTCAAATTTTTTCATATTATTGTACATCATACGAATGAAAAACAATCATTGTAATCAAATTTTCAATTATATATATCAAATTTGTCATTCAATTCTCCTGATATATTTGCCAACATTTAAAAATATATTCGTGAATTTTTTATTCTTCTGCATGATTAAATGATTTATTCAATTTTTCATTTTAAGAATTATTTGCAAATGCAATCAGCAAATTTGCGCATTCTTCTTACAATCAACAAAATTATACCTCTAATCTATCATCGCTTTCCATTCCTCAATCGATGACCTTCAGGAAACCTATAATACTTCACCCGAATAAAATGTATGCCCAATATTGTTATTCCATTTCCTCAATTCCAATTATATTATTTTTCAACTCTTTTTCAATTTTGCATTAATTTTACAATTAAAACTTGAACTTAAAGTTTGCCAATGTAGCATTTAAAATGATATGCATTATTATTATATTATTATTATTATTATCTATTGTCATTATTTAGATAAAATATTAACTTTATGAATACTAATTAATCAAGAAAACCTACGGAGGAATTTAGAAAATATTCGTTTATTGAATCATTTCTTTTTTATTATCATTCACTATTCATTATATTTTCAAAAAAAAAATCATTCATCCTTAGAATTTTCAGGCAATTTTTTTGCTTTTTGCAATGATTCATTTTTCGTTTCATTTCAATTTTACAAACAAGTTACGAAAATTTTCCTATCTCTTTTCATTTCTAAAGAGTTAAGTTATTTTGCATTCATTTGATATCATACTGTTATGTACGTAAAGTATTAGAATAATAGCATTTCATTTTTCTACAAATCACATTTAAAATTCTAGCGAGCAAATTTGTAATTGCAAATGAAATTTAAGTTAAAAAAGATTTTAAATTTTGAACAGCATAAAAAATTTCATTTCCAACAATTTTCTTCCTTCTTATCCATTAATGATTGACTACACACATATTTATCTTTTTGTTTCAACTGTTAAAATGCAAATAGTGCTTTGCAACATTTTTGAAATCAACACTTGACTAGTGCCTGTACAATTATAATTTTGATATCATAAATGAAATTTTAAAATAAAATAAAAATAAAATAAAGTATGCAAGTTTGAAGTTTTACATACAAAAAATTACTACTTCATTCTTCATCTTTTTTTACTTCTATTATTATTTCATTAATCGATTATTTATTTGAAATTCAAAAAATTCTGCTCAATCTTTGTTGCAAATGTAACAAATTTTTTTGCTTCATCATTTTAGCAGTTTTTTTCAAGATAGCAAAAAAAGAAAGAGAAGGAATAATAATTAATACAATTTTTTTTTCTATCTTTGAATTAAATTTATCATTTTAGACTTACCAAACTTTTAATTGCTTTAAAAAAAAAATTGAATTATTTCCGTCTTCTCTCCCTTCCCTCTTTCAGCCACTTTTTAATTTCTCATTCTTTCATAAGTTTTTATCGATATCGCTAAAGTACCTGATGGATGCAACTATGCAAAGTTGATGAACAAACATTGTTTGTTTACTTATCGTTCACTACAATTCCATACTGTGCAGTTAATCAACTCCTGTCGGCATTTTATTTATTCTCGATGGTATATTTTAATCATGTCAACATAAAAGTTCCCTCTTTATTCAAATACTTTAACATACACAAATTTCATTGAATTTCATAATACCTTAGCAAGAATAACTTGTAGTAATGATACATTCATATTTGATAAAATTTGATTGATAAATTTTATTAAACATTTACGAAATATTTGTTCGTTAATTGAAATAAAAGCCATTGTGCATATCATTTATCTATTTATTTGTTTATTTTTTTCAACAAAAAAAATTATTACCTAATTTATGAAATGTGAATGTTCAGTTATTGATTTTTTCAGTTATTTTTATTATAAAATTCACATTTGTTGTTTCTTTTTTCCTTTCAAATATGAATTACGATTATGTTGTTACAAAAAATGCGAAATATCAAAAAAATTTTGGTAAGATACAGTGGAACA